AGGCTGATCTGACTCCAAATTCCCGGACCTCACCCAACACCAACAGCATGTTGTGGCAGCAGCCTTTTGTGCCCCTGTGGAAGCGCAGGATAGGGGCATTGCACAGGTTGCATGGTTTGGAAGGGAGAACTTCTTGCCCACACATAAGCACCTTGGACTCAGCTAAATCCAGAGAATTCTTAGTCTCGCCTAATCCAAAACTGCTAGCTTTCAAATCCCAAAGTACTCATTTTGCCTCTCAGCAGCCCCAGCACAGGGACCTAGCCCTGACAGTTTGCACTGAGGATTCCAGATTCCAGAGTGGAGCCCAGCTGCGCAAAGCCACTGAAGCTGTGACTGGCAGCAGCACTCACTGACATTCTCAAAGGCCCCTGTGCTCCCAGGCCTGGAAGAGCATTATTTTAGGGATAATGGCTGACAGCTGCTGCAGCCTCGTGGCTGCCCAGCCCCTGTCTACCATATCCTTAGGAATCTTGGTGGTTCCAGGCTTTCTGGCCCAGAGCAACCAGCTACGGGAATCCTGGAATTACTTCATTAAACTGCTTTGAAGTTACATGCTTTCTTTTATAGGACTGGGGGGAAATGAAACCTGCCAGCCTATTGTCTGTCTGTACATAACCACTTCTTCCTTGGTGAAATTTCTCCCAGCTCCTGTGTCCCCATCCTGAGTGCAGTAGGGAAGTAGCAAAATAATTTGGTTTTGCCAAATAAAGTTTAAAATGTTGGCCAAGGCCAGTGTCGTGCCCCTGTTACCTCAGCAACCAAGCCGAGGCAGGAGGATCGCTTGCGGCCAGGAGTTTGAAGCCAGTCTAGACGATGGAGCAGGACCCTGTCTCTACAAAATATTTATTAAAAAATTAGTGGGCATGGTGGCAGGCACTGTAGTCCTAGCTACTCAGGAGGCTGGTGTAGGAGAATCACTTGAGCCCACAAGTTCAAGGCTACAGTGAGCTATGATTGTACCACTGCACTCCGGCGTGGGGAACAAAGTGAGACGCCATCCCATAAATAAAACAGTCTCTACTTTCTGAGTATCTTGTTCCCCACTGCACTCTTGCAGGCTGAGTGTTTTATCAAGTTCCACAGTGCCTTTGCATTTCTTATGCATATCTACAGGACAAGACACCATAAGACAGTGCTTCCTGTTTTCAGTTTTTGTCATTATCATTAGCTTTCCGATGGTCAACTGCCAAATAGGCCAGTAAATTTGATTTACGAAAGGGAAAAAGGAGAAACACATATACACACAAACACCTTCATTTGGCCTGAAGTAGGTTTGCGCTCTTTCTCTCTCCTTTTTTAAACTCAGACGTGCACAGGTAGAATGGCTGAAATGACTCTAGAAGAATGTGTTCTCTCCATGCTAAACGCCTCAGATCTCAGCTCATCTTGCAGAGCTGGACAGGATCTTTGGACAGGTTAATATAGTGGTTGGGAAAATCTCCCCCTGGGGAAATTCCTCAGTCCTCTGACAGCCAGCATCTGTGCAGGCGAGGGCACATACCCCTTTGGGGCAGTCTTGGAGTGTATTCCTCCCTTGGTGGATTCACAGAGCGCAAGGGGTACCACAGAAGGGGCTAAAGGCTCCTGTCACTCTCCCATAAAGCCCCTCCACCGATGCAGCACGGGGCATGACATCACTAGGGGAGAAGGTGGGAATGGGATGATTTGGATTCAGGTGACTGGAGTCAAATCCCACCTCCACTGCTCACTCGGTAGGCAACATTAGTATATCCCTGAACCTCTCTGTGCCTCGGTTTACACATCTGTAAAACAGGAATAATAATACTTGCTGCACAATATGGCTACGGTTTTATAAATGACACAGCACTATTATCCATAATAGTAGTAACCTTAAGGAGATGCTGAAGACTCTTTTCAGATTTGTCCCAGTGCTTATATCTACTACATTTAAGGGGAGTAGGTTTGAAGATAAATTTCATTATCCTTGTCATCACCAATGCCTTCATGAGTCAAGCACCAGAAGTAGACTCGGCACCAGAAGAAACATGGTCATCAAAATTATCCCTGAAAGGCCAGTTGGTCAAGATATTTCAGACATCAAAAATACGCCCTCCAGCCCTACCCGCAAGGCCTCAGCTGCATCACATTCCTTCACTTAGACCCGCCTGCAGACCACACAGTATCTCAGGGCAATTTCGAACTCTCTCGACCGACTGCCTCTCACTATCTGGGTTGCACACTCAGGCAGCCTGATTCCTGTCTGGTGAACCACATAGAAACCAAGAGAATGAGAACTAATGTAATTGGTTGAAGTCATTTCCAGAAATACGCTATTGGGGACATATCGAGAAGGTATCTGGGTTCTAAACAGGAAATCATAATAATCAGACTAATGCAGCATCCAAATTACTTCAAGGAAAACAACTGTTACAAAATCAAATTACAGACACACCAAGCTCCTCATCAGAAATAGAAACAGGCTTCCTTTTTCATTACACCTCTTTTTTCCAGCAAATTCTTGCACATTCTAGAATGAATCTTAACTATTCACAATCCCTATCATTGTTCCTGAAATAACACCCTCATAAATTATGCCTACTCTGAAATACAGTTTAACCCATTTTATAGTTAACAGCAGCCTTAACATACAGTCCCAAGTGAACCATGTAGAGAGCCTCAGAATTACAAACGTAAAGTGACGGCAAAGAAAGAAAATATATATGCCTTCTAACTGACTCAGAAACGGGCTTCCCACACCCCCTGCAGTCATGAGCCACGCAATGACATCAGGCAACAACAGACTGCATGTATGACAGTGATGCCATAAGATTAGAATAGAGCTGAAAAATTCCTTTCCCCTGATGACATACTGATGACCCTGACCCTGATGATTAGGCCCGGGCTAATGTGTGTGTAGTTGTCTTAGTTTTTAACAAAAAACTTTAAAAGTAAAAATAATAATAATAAAATTTAATGGAAAAAATGTATAGAACAAGAACATAAAGAAAATATTTTTGCATAGCTGTACAATGCATTTGTGTTTTAAGCTAAGTGTTATTCCAAAAGAAGTTTAAAACATTAAAAAGTTTATAAAGTAAAAAGTAAGCTAAGGTTAATTTATTATTGAAGAAAGAAGAGTTTTAAAATAAATTTAGACCAGGCACGGTGGCTCACACCTGTAATCCCAGCACTTTGGGAGGCTAAGGCAGGCGGATCACTTGAGGTCAAGAGTTTGAGACCAGCCTGGCCAACATGGTGAAACCCTGTCTCTACTAAAAATACAAAACTTAGCCAGGCATGGTGGTGAGCACCTGTAATCCCAGCTACTGGGGAGGCTGAGGCAGGATAATCACTTGAACCCAGGAGGCAGATGTTGCAGTGAGCCAAGATCATACCACTGCACTCTAGCCTGAACGACAGAGTGAGACTGTCTCAAAAAAAAAAAAAAATGAATTTTGTGTAGCCTGAGTGTGCAGTGTTTATAAAGTCTGTACATTACTGTACAGTAATGGAGAGTCATGTCCCAGGCCCTCATGTTCACTCACTACTTACTTACTGACTCACCCAGAGCAACTTCCAGTCCTGTAAGCTCCACTCATGGTAAGTGTCCTTATAAGTATATCATTTTTTATCGCTTATACCATAACCTTTTCTATGTTTAGATACACAGATACTGATCATTGTGTTACAACTGCCTACAGTATATTTAGTACAGTAATAAGCTGTACAGTTTTATAGCCTGGGAGCAATAGGCTATACCACATAGCCTAGGTGTGTAGTAGGCTGTGCCATCTAGAGCTATGCAAGTACACTCTATGATGTTTGCACAACAGTGAAATCGCCTGACAATGCACTTCGTAGAACATATCTACATTGTTAAGTGACACACAACTGCATTTCAGCACTCTATGCCCTAGTTATTTATATACATATTAATAGCTTCGAGGGAATGGGGAGTCATTTAGCATTAACGAGCAATGAAAAGTGGAACTTTTTCTTGTTTTAGAAAGTGACAGTAAGCAATCTAGAAAATGTGGACAAGATGGAGGAAAGCAAAGAGTGAAGGGAAGAAGGGGGAGTAGAAAGGAAAACCATGATGACGTTCCTCATGTCCTGAATCTGATGAGCTCAGACTGTCCGGCACATGCCCTTCAGATAGGTGATAGGGCAGTGTTGGGCTGATTCTGGGAAAACTCTCCTCTACCTACAGAGCTTGGGTGTCTTTAATACAGTGTAGTCCATTTTGTTCTTTTTTTTTTTCTGTTTCTTAGCGCTGGGCTTGCCTTGTTAGTGGTTGGCTGGAAACGAGTACATTATCATCGACCACTGACAAAGCAACAGGACATCTTCTGTCCCTGGGCACACGCTGGTTACCCATCAATCACTTTCTATTGACCTTGAGCTAAGATCCATAAATTCAAAAACTGCAATTTAAAATTTTTATAGGCAAACTAATGGAATATCAACTTCTACAAGGCTGATTCTTCAATAACCCACTTGAAGGACATAGTCCCCTGTCAGAGATGGAGTTCTGTTTGCTGATTTTTCACCAAGAGAAGGGAGGAAGGAACACTTAGTGAGCCTCCAGTGTGTGCCAGGTACCGTATGGGGTGCTTTACATATATGATACCAAATCTAAGTTGCCACCAACTGTAACATGCCCAGCAAGAAAGCAAACCTACTGCCGATTAATTGAAGGATGCCATCCAGGGTGTATTTACTGGGAATCTAAGAGAGCTTCAGCCTCAGGGCCCCTCATTTGCGTGGGCCCTTCCAATGTTCTGGGAGAGAGGCCAGCAGTGTGTTCACGTGGCCATATATTTTTGTAAAATTTGCAAAAGATATTTTAACTGCAATCGGTTAGACCACTGTCTCTTTCCACCCTGACTTCCCCTCTGTCACACTTCCCCTTACATGGGTGGCACTGGAGTGGCCACGGGCAACTCGGGGATCCTATTAAAGGGGAAGTTGAGCTGGGGATACATTTAGTCTGGGTTTAGTGGGACGTTTGTATGTGGTCTCTGCAGTTGACTTACCGCTGGGTGTGCTGGGATAGAAATGGCTTCACGCTTCTCTCCTCCACCACACCAGTTCTCCTGGCAGTGAGATGCTCCGGTGCAGGGCTCCAGGTTGTATCCAACATAAACACATCCCACCACGCTCACCAGCAGCATATGGCCTGGGTAGCAGAAAATAAAGAAGGTGTGAAGTGTGTGAGCCAGAAGTTGGTCTGTGGAAAATTTTCCCAAATCTCATACTTCATATAGGAAAGACACTTCATAGAGTTTTTCCCCAAATTTGACAAAAAACTCTCAAGATTTATGTGACATTACCAAAAATAGTTGTTAAGCTGGAAAACACACATTTTACTGCTTATAGTAAAAAATAAATCTCCATCAACCATCAAGAAGGAAGACTGAACTGTCTATTCTCTCTATAGAAAACAGACGTAATGAATTCATTGTCATACAGCCCACTCCCCTCCAAAAATGCAGGGCAAACAAGTATAACAGAAGTGGGCCAGAAAGTTAATTTTTACAAATATTATGGTATTTTTATGGTATTTTATGTTGTTTGTGATTTATATCAGCTTTTTTGAAATTGTGGTTTGTTGTGATTTTCCCATTTAAACAAATATTCATGTTCTTACCTAATTTTGCACGTATTATTTTCTCTTTTTTAAAAAGGTCCCTGAATAATATAAAGTTCAGGCCCCATAAAACTGGGGTTGTCTAGACCCCTGAATACCATCCCAATTTCAGATAACTTTCTAATGTATGGGTGGAAATATGAACCTTAGACCTAGTTAAATTCATAGCAGGTATTATTTCCTTAATTCCACATAACAACACTGGGAGGCAGGTGTGTCATCTTACAGATGAGGAAACTGGGCTCAGGAAGTTGATAAATTTTCCCAAAATTATTGCCATGGCTACACTGGCAATATTCAAAACTTAAAGCCACAAAGTGAGGCCTGTACTTTTTGCAGAGCCCTGAAGTTTCTCTATCTCCACTGAATTAGTAAAATGCAGAATCAGGATTAGAACCAGACTTTTTACCTGAAACCTGGAAGTCTTACCACAACCTCTTTGGAAAAGAACATCAACTACCTCCTTATAGAAATTTATATTTCCTGTTAATACTCCAAAAAGGTATTTCATTTTCTTCCTTATGTGTAGTTTTGCAATTAAATGACTATCTTCTGTTCAGGAGTTTTAGGGATTTTACAAAGGACCCATCCCCAAACTCTGCTCCCAATTGCTGTCCCCTATGCCCAGACCAATCAGAGAGGACGTTGCCATTAGACATCCTTTGAGTTAAAACATAAAAGCTCCTTCCTCTCAAAATGCATATGTATACTTAGAAGTAGAAACTCAATGAGGAAGCTATTCTTCATCATTAAGAACTTAACAGGAATGTATATTTCAAAAGCACTTAACACCACAGGATTCCTGGCGGGAAGGCATCGTAGTGGTGCTGGCAGGGTCCATTTTCTTGTGGAGGTGGGGCAGACATAGAGGGTCCCAGGCAGCCAGAAGGCAGCAGTGCTGTGGCCATTTCCACTTCCATTCTACCCAGCACACTATAGTTATTAAAAACTAATCAGACCAGCGCAGTGGCTCAGGCCTATAATCCCAGCACTTTGGGAGGCCGAGGTAGGTAGATCGCTTGAGCTCAGGCATCTGAGACCAACCTGGACAGCATGGCGAAACTTGTCTCTGCAAAAACTACAAAAAGTAGCTGGGCTTGGTGGCACATGCCTGCAGTCCCAGCTAGTCAGGAGGCTGAGGTGGGAGGATCACTTGAGCCCAGGGGGCCGAAGCTGCAGTGAGCCAAGACTGTACCACTGCACTCCAGCATGGGTGACAGAACTAGACCCTGTTTAAAAAAAAAAACACTGATCGGTTAGTTCTTGGTACAAAACTTCTCCTGGCCATTAAGCTGGCACCACTGAATCCAGTATTTCAGGAGAGTACATACAAGCAGTCCCAGTGGGGACTTTCCATCCTTGCAGATAATCATCACTGACACCAGCCTGAGCTCCCTGTCTCCCTTTGCCATGATTTATGGGGAGAAAACTGAGGTTTAAGGCAGAAGTTTAATTGGGGGTCCTTGAAACTCCTTGAAATTTGTTGCAGGAGTAAGATGAGACTGCAATTTTTAAGGGAGAGAGTCAAATACTAAAGGGATTTATGAGCTCCCCAAAAGTTTAAGAACCACTGTTTTAGAAGAAAAGCACTGAAATAAAACTAGTACAAGTCTCAGAGGGATGCTGATACCAAAAACACAGTCAAGTGATGTCAGGTGGCACATGTGTAGGTATGTGGATAAGAAAAATTTGTTACATTTAACTGGTGTGCAATGTTTTTAACTTGCTAGATAATCAGTTAAGAAGTTCTGGTTTTTATTAAATCATTAAAATAATTAGTTAAGATTTTCTCTCTCGACATGCCTATATTATATACCTAATACTAGAAGATTCACCAGGCTTCCGTTTTTAACTTACTAGATCATTTTATTTTTAATAATGCAACTGAATGAGAATCATATTTTTGGCTCCAAGTCAGCCTATAAACAGAAAATATTGAGCTGCATAGAAATCATCTTACCACAGTTTCATTTTGACCTTCTATTCCACAGCCATTTGTTTAATACATTTTGCTCTGTGTTTAGAAGTGCATTATTTATTATCTGAATTAAGCTATAATTTGTTTCTGTTACAAAAAAATGCTCTGCCAACTCAACCAGCTTCCTGCATCGATGAAAATCATGATCTCATTAGGAGGTGCTTTAAGAAAAAATGCAGCTTTTTCTTTTTTATGGTTTTTTTTTTTTTTTTTTTTTTTGAGAAGGAATTTTGCTCCTGTTGCCCAGGCTGGAGGGCAATAGTGCAATCTCAGCTCACCACAACCTCTGCCTCCCAGCTCTGCCTCCCAGGTTCAAGCAATTCTCTTGCCTCAGTCTCCCGAGTAGCTGGGATTACAGGCATGCACCACCACACCCAGCTAATTTTGTATTTTTAGTAGAGAGAGGGTTTCTCCATGTTGGTCAGGCTGGTCTCAAACTCTTGACTTCAGGTGATCTGTCCACCTCGGCCTCCCAAAGTGCTGGGATTACAGGCATGAGCTACTGTGCCCGGCAAGCTTTTTCTTAAGAAAGCAGCTTCTCTGCCCAACCTTCATCTTGCTTCCTTAACTAATCATCTTCCTCTGGACATGCCAAAATGTTCCCATCTCATACTTCTGTCCTGTTGGACCTTCCAATGCTTGGTCCACCACCCCACAAACAAACCTAATTTGGGCACCTGAGTCAGGGCTTTCCAGTTTGTGTCTTTGAGAGAAAGGATCTACCCTAAGCTTGAGAGAAACTGTAACCTGGAACAACGCACCCTTTAATAGGGATGTTTGTCCAGCGTTGGTTGCACATTCATCCAAACCCACTGCACAGCTCCCTTGAGCACCACCTCTTCAGAGTGTTTGTTAGACTTGTTGCAAATAAATGGACAAAGTTTCCAGGAGGTAGCATTTTTTAATTTCCCAAATGGTTGGGTTTGGGGTTTGGCTATTTGAGGCTTGTTTATTCTTTTTTATTTCTACAAAGATGATTGACCCTCTCTGCCCCCTCCAGCCCTCGTGACCACAGCAGACCATGTGATGATGTGAAAGCAGTTAAGCCCAAAATCCTTGACATCATTCCCATATTTGGGGACTTTGCCACCTTAGGGGTTCTTACCTCCCCACAGCTGAAGCCAGAAAACTGACTTTCCCTGATTCCCTTGCAGCTAGACCTCACCATGTGATCCAAGCTCTGCCAATCAGATAGTCTCACAAACAGCTTCATTTGGAATTGAGCCCATGAGCAAGCCAACTGTGCAGAATCCATTTGCTAGAAAGGGTGGCAGTGGTGGTATCCAGCTCCTAGGGGCAACAGTGGCATGAGCTGTGCTGAGGGGGTCTAGACTTGGAGACAGCTGCAGAGACCCTTTCTGATTCACTCCTAGGGTGTGGTTGGTTTGAGCCTTGTTCTGACCTCCTGGCCTACAAGCCTGACTTTCTGGCCCTCTGGAGATTTTGAAAGTATCTTCATATCCTCTAATAAACTCCTTTTTCTGCTGAAACGACTGCAAATGGGTTTTGGTTTTGGTAATAGATCCTTGATGGATACAATGCCCATGAAGACCTACATGGTCTCCAGTCAGCCTGCTTCTCCTGTTGGACCTGTTAATGTTCTTGCCTTCTCACTGGGCCCTCGTCTCCTCCACCAAGGAGTTAAGCTCTCTCCTGCCTCAGCCTTCGCAGGTGCTGTTTCTCAGCTGGGAATGCTCTGCTCCTGCTCTAACCTTGGCTCCCTCCTGAACTCCAAACACACCTCAAAACTGACTAGGTTAAGTCTTCCCAATACACCCTCCTAGCATCCTAGACTTGACCTGCATGGTACTCATCACAGTTGAAATTAAATACTGAGTTGGTTAGTGTTTTTCTCTCCGAAGAGACTGTAATAATCAAAATAATAACATTTATGCACTCTTTCCAAATGCCAGGAAGACTTCTAAGCACTTTACATGGATCACCTCATTCCATCTTCACTAAAACACCGAGGAAAGTATCATTATAAAACCCATTTTACACATGGAGAAACTTAGACTCTGAGCACTTAAGAAACAAATCCTAGGTCACACAAAAAGTATGGACTGGAGCCAACATCGGAATCCAGAAAATCTCACATTGGATCACACTCTTAATCCTATCTGTCATCTCTACAGTGGGTGCCTGCATCCCAGAACTTGTGCAAAATAAGCCATTAGAGGGTAAGAAGAAAATATTAGAAATTTATAGACATTTGCAGTTGTATCTCCTCTGGATTAATTTATTTTGCCTGTCTATTTTGTAATGTACACAAATCATTTTACTTGATGTGCATAATATAGCAATATATTACATAATTTATAAATAAAAAACAGAGTAGTTCAGCTCAATGTTTTTCCTATAGGGATGTAAAATGACTAAGCGTTTGGAGACTACTGCTGTCAACTATGAGCTCTGTGAAAGCAGGACTGTCACTCACAGCACCTCAGCAGCTAGTACAGAAGCCTGACACATAGCTAGTACCTGATAAATGTGTGTTGACTGAATAGTGTCCCTTCTAACACTGGGAATACCAACACTAAGAGAAA